ATTTTTTGTAGAGACAGGGTTTCACCACATTGCCCAGGCTGATCTGGAACTCCTGAGCTCAAGGAATCCTCCTGCCTTGGTCTCCCAAAGTGCTGGGGTTAAAGGCATGAGTCACTGCACCCAGCCGAGCACTGTTTTTTAGAGTACACATGAAATCACATGAGATTGTTAAATCGGAGAGTAATGTTAGAATAATAAGGAAAGTGGGTTGGTTCATACATAATTTTTCATAGCACTTTAATGCTTTGTAGTACAAAGACACGATAGCTGAAGTACAACTATTGCACTTAGTTTTGTGATTGCACCAGGACTGGGGGAATACAGCACTCAAATGATGACCTTTCACGGTGTGGGACCCCATTCTTCCCTGGGCTTGGTTCAGCCATGTGCTCCATTTTGATAGGGCTTATTTTGCAGCTCCCTCACATCTTTGGGCAAAAGCGACATCAGACAATGAGTCAGAGCCATCCATCTCTGGCAACTCTACATTTCCTGCAAAGTTTGCATGTGCTTCCATCTGCAACTTCTGATGATCTGCTGCCCTTGTTTCCATCACTCGTCAGTGTCTACCCTTCTGTAAATTGTCATTCTTTAAGCAACCTTCAACTTTTTAAAAAAGGTAAAACTCTTTAAGTTAATATAACATTGCTTTATTTGTTAGGAGTTTTACACGTCCTTTTAAATGAACTACTATTTTCATTTGGGTTGTTACTGTCTGTTAATACTACAGTTGAGTCGTTGCCAGACTTTGTTGTGTATTAGTTACCTAGGGATGTTTTAGAATACTGAGGCCCAGCTTCTCCCCTCATTCCATTTAATTCAGAATGTCTTGGGTGTGGGAGCCAGGTATCAGTTTTTAAAGATCGTATCAGTAAGTAGCAAAGTTTGGGAACCACCGCTCAGTTGTTCTGAGGTTCAGAGGGCTTTCCCAGTCTTATTTTTCCCTTAGGCTCTTAAGTGAGCCATTTTCTTAAAATGTGAAGATCTTCAGGAATGTATTATACATAGCATATTATAGCCAGAATGTTGTGTCATTTTTTGGTTTCTGCTATGGTCTGGATACTGGTGTCTTCCAAAATTCATATGTTGGAACCTAATATCCAATATGATTGCATTAAGACGTGGGGTCTTTTGGGAAGTAAGACGTGAGAACGCTGCCCTCATGAATAGGATTAGTGCCCTTACTGAAGAGGTTGAAAGGAGCTGCCTTGCCACCTTCTGCCATGTGAGGATGCAGCAAGAAACTGTCATCTATAAGGCACAGGCCCTCATCAGACACAGAATCTACTGTTGCTTTGATCTTGCATTTCTCAGCCTCCAGAACTGAAAAAAATAAATTTTTGTTGTTCATAAATTACCCGATCTAATGTATTTTGTAATAGCAGCCCAAACAGTTTCCAAAATAAAAATAATGTAAAGGGAGAACAGGATTTGGGGAGTGAAAATGGCTAGTTAAAAAAAAATTTTTTTTTCTTTTTTTTGAGACCAGTCTCAGTCTGTCGCTCAGGCTGGAGTACAGCAGCATGATCACGGCTCACTGGGCTTAAGTGATCCTCCCACTGCAGACTCCCAAGTACCTGTGAACACAGGTGTGGGCTACCATGTGCAGCGAATTTTTGTATTTTTAGTAGAGATGGGGTTTCCCCATGTTTCCCAGGCTGGTCTTGACCTCCTGGGCTCAAGCAATCTGCCCACCTTGGCCTCCCAAAGTGCTGGGAATACAGGTGTGAGCCACTGCACCTGGTCTAAAAATTTTAATAATAAAAATCAATTTTAAAAACACCATAAAGAATGCATAAAAGCATATGTATTTTATTAGTATATATTGCCCTGTATGAGGTGAAACAGAGGGCCTCCTAAGATATACTGGCTCTCCAGATCTTTAAGGTAAAGTATATGCCCATGTATGTATCACCAGTATGTTCTGTGGCCTCGCCATTGGCTAGTGAGCAAAGTGTATCATGTTTACATAGTTCTACAGATTGGCCCCATCTACTTTGTTAACAAGCAGTCTTGCCTTTTCCTGTGTCTCCCTAATCTTGCTAACTTCTGATTCACCAACTGCCATCACTATGCCACCTAGGATTTGCTGTTTGCCTTTTCTTTTTCATTTTTAGATGGGGTTTCACTTTATTACTCAAACTGGAGGGCAGTAGCTCCAACATGGCTCTCTGCAGCCTCAACCTCCCTGCTCAAGCTATCCTCCTGCCTCAGCCTCCCAAGTAGCTGGCACTACAGGTGCATGACACCACACCCAGCTAATTTTTTTATTTTTTTGGTGAAGATGGGGTTTTGCCATTTTGTCCAGGCTAGTCTCAAACTCCTGGACTCAAGCAATCTTCCTACCTCAGGCTCCCATAGTGCTGAAATTATACATGTGAGTCACTGGGTCTGGCCTCATTACCTTTCTTAGGCTCTGTCTTCACATCACATTTTTTTCTGCCTCTCCATTCTTTTATTATTATTTACTTAATAACCTCTGTAAGCACAGAATACGCTTCTCCATTCTTATTGCTACAAATCAGAAACTCATACCTCAACTCCTGCTGGCCTTTTTATCTTCAGTTTTTACCTCCGCTAAATATTCATGTCAGGACCAAGCGTAACGATTCACGCCTGTAATCCCAGCACTTTGGGAGGACGATGTGGGCGGATCACCTGAGGTTGGGATTTTGAGACCAGCCTGGCCAACACGGTGAAACCTCGTCTCTACTAAAAATACAAAAATTGGCCAGGCGTGGTGGTGCATGGCTGTAATCTCAGCTACTCGGCAGGCGGAGGCAGGAGAATCGCTTGAACCCAGGAGGCAGAGGTTGCAGTGAGCCGAGATCCGCACCACTGCACTCCAGCCCGGGTGAAAAAATGAGACTCCATCTCAAAACAAAAACAAAAACAAAAACAAAAACAACCAAGCATTAATGTCAGGTTATTTTCCTAAAGTGTATTTGCACTTCTTCTCAAGCACTGATTTAAGTCTTACCTTTTTTGTAAAACCTTCTAAGACTCAAACTCATATCCATCTTTCCCTTCCTTAAGCACTTAAAATGTGCACAGCTGCATCTGTCCAATCATAAAAGACGGCAGTGAACAAAACACCGTACTGGAATAAGCTTTGAGACTTAAAAAAAAAAGAAAAAAAAAAAAAAAAAAAGGGTTCTTTATGGTATACCCTATGTCCTTGAATAATAGTGTGTACTTACTATATATCAGGCTCTTCAAGTATTGCTTTTAGTTCTTCAACAATTAGATGTAGTTTTGTGTAGTTTTCCCCATTTTACAGATGGGGAAACAAGGCACAGAAAGTTAAGTTGCTCAAAGTCACACAAATAAAAATTCAGGCAGTTCTTGAGTCAGTGTTCTTAATAATGATCCTAAACTGCTTCTCAATTAACAAATCACTTATATTTGATTTTTTCTGTCCCTTAAGTAATGGAGTTAAACCTACCTGTCTTTATTACCCTAAATGAAAGACATAAGTAAAGCACTTTGTAATGCATAGTGTTAAATGGAGACTATTAATAACCTTTATTTGTAATTTGTAATATTCATTTTTTTATGCAATAATTATTTCATTTTTATACATAAAGGTCTGTAATTATTCAGGAATTTCCTTGTAAGTAGAGACGCACGATCTACTTATGTCCTTTTCTGCCTAGAAGAACTCTGGTTAGATCTATTCAATATATATTACTGATTGGTTAACACCCTTGCAACTTGCAGGGAAGTAAAGCATAAACACATAAAAGGAAATAAAAGTTCCCATAAGGTTAAAAATATTATTTTATTTTAAAAATTTTATTTAAAAAATTGTGATAGTTTTCCATAAACTATTCAGAGAAGGGCAAATTCAGTTTCCTCAGATTCTACCAGAAGTCTGATCCTTTAGGTTAATGTTTTCTGATTAAGATTTAGATTCAGAAGTAATGGAATAAAATTATCTATTACAAGCATACTTTGGTTGATACTTTATCAGTGATATGTCACTTAAATAAGCGTTACTTTGAGAGATTTGGACTTAAGGGGCAAGTTTCACCGTTAACTCTTAATTTTTTAGTAGTCAGATGTTTATATGTACCAGTTTTCCCTTGTTGGAGCTTTAACGTAATTCTCCTTTATGAGATGCTAAGCTCTCTGCATTCACGTACTCCCAAGGGTGCACGGCTAATATAGATAAATCATACATGTAATGTTTGCATCCAGATGTAATTCATTTTTTGTCTTAATAACTGGACTTTTATCTATCCAGAGGCTTTCTCGTTACATCTGTGATCCTTATAGACTACAGAAAACAGCAGTTTTAAGACACATGCAAAAAAGTTTCCAGCCAGAGATTTTGTGATGCTCCAAAAACACTGTACATCTGTTATTTATCTGGCATATTACTTTAATGACAACTACACAAGGCCATAGACTTACAATGTATTTATGATGCAAGTAGTTTCGTAAGCTACCATATAATGTTAAACATTTTCAAAACAAAAGCACACTCTAAGTGATGAAAAGCTGTAGGGAGTATTTATTTTTTTACTTTTACTTTTTATTTTTATTTTATTGAGATGGAGTATCGCTCTGTCGCCCAGGCTGGAGGGCAGTGGCACGATCTCCGCTCACCGCAACCTTCGCCTCCCAGGTTCTAGTGGTTCTCCTTCCTCAGTCTCCCTAGTAGCTGCGACTACAGGCACCCGCCACCACGCTGGCTAATTTTTGTATTTTAGTAGAGACAGGGTTTCACCATGTTGACCAGGATGGTGTTGATCTCTTGACCAAGTGATCCGCCCGCCTCGGCCTCCCAAAGTGCTAGGATTACAGGTATGAGTCACCGTACCCGGCTTTATTTTTATAACATCACACAGAGGTTAGTTTTTATGTTTTTGTTTTTGAGATGGAGTTTCGCTCTTGTCGCCCAGGCTGGAGTGCAATGGCGTGATCTCAGCTCACTGTAACCACCGCCTCCCGGGTTCAAGCGATTCTCCTGCCTCAGCTTCCAGAGTAGCTGGGATTACAGGCACACACCAACACTCCCAGCAATTTTTTTGTTTTAAACAAAACTCCTAACACCTCGTTAATCATTAATTAGTCTTTGGGTTTTGATTCAACTCCTAACATTTGCAAATCACACAATTATCTTTGTTCTTTCATTTGTGGAAGACACTTCCATTTGTTACCCTGAGAATATGAGACATTCACAATCTAATTCCTGACTACATTTGATTTCAAACAGATCGGAATAACTTCCAGAATATAAAATATTAACTATTTGGGAGTCACCTTGTAGGTATCTTGTGGGTATGCTCTAATTAAGAAATGCTTCCTCTTCCCAGGAAAACCGCTGACATTGCAAGAGTTACTCCAAAGCCACAATTCTTAAGAAAATACATGTTTAACCTAAATCATAAAGATATTTTGTAAAAAAGGGAAATCGCTCCTGCTGATGTTTTGTGTATAAATCTCTTTCTAAATTCAAGCTCTCTCAAGTTAGGGCACCACAGTAAATAAAGTGGGAACAGTATCACATTAGGAAATATCTGAAATGATACCTATGGCACTATAAGGAAACTGAGGCCCAGAAGAATTGAAGTGACCTGTGCAATTACACCAATATGTTAGCAGAGCCAAGATTAGAACCAAGTTTGGTGCCTTCCTGCATCAGTCCTTTCTTGGTGCTGCAGGAGCCTTTTACTTATTAATTTCACCCTGGAGAATTCTGGTAGACCATCCCGGCGTGGTAGAAGCGTGAACATTCGTTTTCTAAGGGATGGTCACACACCTTTGTCTATTTGCATTTAGTTTCTTTAAAAAGTAAAAACACCTCCATTTTGGACCACTTTTAGAGACAAAAGCAGAACATACGAACATGCATTTCATTGTTGAGTTCTTAAGACGCTTACACCGTGTGGTTATAACGTGCGCAACTTTGTCCCAGCCAACTGGACTTATTTTTAGTGTTATTTTCGGCTCCTGCTGCAGAAAACTAGGGATTCACCTATCCGCACCTGCATTTCACACAACAGCGCTCGTCTACTCTCTTCCTTCACTCCTAATAAAAAAACGCCTTATCCAGTTTCTTCCTGCCTGCTCTACCTCAACATTTTCACTTATTATCTTCCACCACACTGGCTTTTACTCGGACTGGAAACCCACTCTCCCCCAACTTCTGTCTCGTACCCCACCTTCAAGAAGCGTCCTCCTTTTTTCCGCCTCTCGTTCGCTTTTGTCTTACACGGCTTCCGGAACACGGCCCAGAATTACAGCGAAACCACACTGCGCACGCGCACTCTCTCGTCAGCCCTGTGCTGCTTCAATGTTTGGTTGGCTAGTTCGTCCCAATTTCCGAGTCAAAGGGCTGCGGAGCAGCAACTCTCACGATATTTGCTGCGACCCGCCGACGCGAGCCGCTGCCGGGTTCTGGCGCGCCCTTTCAGTTCTGCTTGTGGCCGGCACCACTGCGTTATCCGGAACTGCCGGTCTGAGCAGCATGACGTCCGCCTTGGAGAACTACATCAACCGTATCCTCAAGCTGGCCGCCGCGGGCGTGAGCCGGGGCCGCAGAGAGGCCGCAGCTCGGGGATCTGTGGGAGGTTGGGAGGCCTGGCCGCGGCGGGATCCTGGGGGCGGGCGAGGAGATGAGGACCCCGGAATGACCCAGAGTTCGGCGGCGGCGCCTAGAGCCTGCCAGCTGCTGCGGGCCCAGGGGTCCTTTCCATTTTGTCTGCAAAAGCCAAATAAAAACCCAGTGTGATTATTCCGAACTTTTCTGTCTTAAAAAAAAAAATACGCTCTTGATTCTTCCTTACTATTTCCCTAGGGCATAAGTGTTCAAGTTTGTAAATAAGATGAACAGTCGCCCTGGCTGCGACAACAGTTTTGCAAATCTGTGTACTTGTTTCATTCACATAATTTACTCATTAGTTCGAGGATAGCAGAAAGTTTAACGATGATTCACAGACTGTTTCTGTCCCTTTACCACTTGAAGTCCCTACTTGGTGGTGGAATGAAAAAAATGCTTGCTGTTGTAATGGATTATAGTGAGGAGCAAGTAACAACCCCACGGGAAGTCTTAATTAAGACTTTACAAGTGTTACGGTTTTAAAGTCTCAGAACAAAAACACTATGTTAAGTTCAGGTACAAACTGGGTGACAAAAATTAAATACCGAATGCTTTTAATGTTACAGGCATTGTTAGTACCATGTGACACTGATTATATAGTTTATTTACTTTTGAATTTCAGAAGCCTGCCCCGGAAGACAATTTTTTAACATGCTTGAAAATCGTCCAACATCGATTAATTTAGTACTCATCCAGTTTTCATTTTAGATATAAACAGGCCCAAGAAACGAAATATCCTGCCCGAAATAATAGATTGGCAGCATTCCTAGTAGAAAAGTGTCAAAAATCCAGGATATTTTGAGATAGGATACACCGATCACATACAGAAAGAGATTTTCTTTTTCTACTTTTTCCTTTTTTTAGTCATGTAATTATCACAAAACTAAAACAAGCTTTAAAAAATTTTTTTTTCTTTCTTTTTTTGAGTCGAGGGTCTCACTCTGTTGCCCAGGCTGGAGTGCAGTGGCTTGATCATGGCTCAATGCAACCTTGAACTCCTGAGCTCAAGCTATCCTCCTGCCTCTGCCTCTGTCTCCTGAGTAGCTGGGACTATAGGTCACCAGGCCAGGGTAGTAGAGATGGGGGGGTCTCACTGTGTTTCCCAAGCTAGTCTCACCTCAAGTGATCCTCCTGCCTTGGCGTCCCAAAATCTTTCAACGTTTTTATGTAGTGAACTTAGTGGCTGTGTTGAACACTTTTACCTAATTGTCATATTTGTTCTAATAATTAAAATCATTACCTTGCCAGAGTCTGTTTTCAATTTGCATTCCCTAAGAAACACTTTCCTTTATTCAGTTATCAGGAACTGTTGCCGTTATTACATCTGATGGGAGAATGATTGTGGTAAGTCTTCGGAATTTTCATTCTCTGCTTTCCTGTAGGTTTATTGGTTGCAAGTTTTATGTGAAACCTCTGATCTCTAATGTCTAGACAGCACATTACACCTGTAGTGCAGTTTTATTATAATTCAGCTCTTTATCACTTTGCTGTCAATCCACGTTTTCCTCACGAATAAACGTGGCGTGTTACCTACAGGCTTCTAGGAGCTAGAGTTATAGGTTCTGCCCTCAGAGAGCTCCTAGTCTGCAGACCTTCATTAAACTTACTTTTCTTCTTCCATTTTTATTTCCTTCCTCATTCGGCACCACATGAATCAGAATTTTTTGAAATTTTGCATATGCTTAGTAACTTTTTAATGATTTAGATACTATTAATATCTACATATCAACATTTAAGGCTTATATACAATCTTAACATTCTTTGTTTTTAGGTTGTGTGACATGTCTTCTGTAGGACACATTTTGATGATTGACTCTCTCTATATACACATATTTACGTAAAATTGGCTTGTTCCTTGAAGTTGTTTCTCCCTTGCTAATTTATGTCATATAACAAAGATAAAACGTTCCTATTGTGATACTTGTATTTAGAATTTGATCTGAGGAATTCATCTCAAGATTTTTGGGTACTTGATTATTTCTTCACTTATAATTCATACTCCGAATGCTTTCAAAAGAATTTTAAGGCTACTAAACTTTATTTTCTAATCTTACCTAGTTTCTTTAAATAATTTGATCCCTTATTTTTCCATTCTGCAGTTTTGCTTTCGTTTGTTTTCTTTTTAAGCCTTGTGATTTTTTTTTTCCACTGGGTTCTCGGTGACTATTGTTAGTCAAAGTTCTAGCTTGGCCATTTACTAAATTTATATCGTGTGCCAGGTGCATATGTGTTACATTAATTAATATACATACAACCTTGTGAAGAATAAGTACCCCTGTATTCTAGATTAGGAAACAAGTTCAGAGAAGGTGACTCACTTTCTCAGAGTCACAAGGGTAGCAGGTAACAGAACCAAACTGGGATTTAAATTTGTTTTGACCTCAAAGCCAAGGCCAGTTGCCTGGCTTCTTTCTTAAGGAAGAAATCATGTTTTCTTAGGCACCTCACATTGTATTTTTTCAAATGTGGACAGTTTGACATATTTTAATCTCAACACTTCAAGAAGCGTATTGCTATTAATAGATGTTTGCATTATTTTTTATTTGGTGAAAACCTTACGTTTAAATTTTCTTATTTTTGTTAACAGGATAGATAATAAACTGGGAAATTATTTTTAATTTTAAAGAAGAAGGAAAGCGATATAAAAAGAGCATCTTAAGTTCTGAAGTTCAATAGTTCTGTATTTCTTTGACACATAATTTATTTGATGGGATAGTTAATGGGTAAAATGAAGCCAATACGTTATGAATGGGTGTTTATGATAACAACCATTTGCTAACTAGTTCAATAAATACTCCATATTTTGTTTCTCTTCCAAGTTATAGATTTCTTTTTATTTAATTCTCATTTTATATATTTTGACTTTCAGAGGATAAAACAGTTTAAGAGCTTGAGAGATTTAACCATCAAAACCAATGTTAGTTGATATTTCTTCAGAAACTTGAATACCATCTGAGTTACTCTGTTATGCTAGACCCATGTCTTTTATTCAATTCTAAGCTTTCACAAAACTCTCCCTGATTATTTCCTTCAAGTTCTGGTTCTAATTAGTATAGTCACATTTGTATCTACCTTACTGGGAGAGTTCAACAATACATCGATTGGATACACATTAAACAATACACGTGAGACAGACGGAACACCGGTAACTAGTAAGTACTCATTAGGTGTTATATGTAACTACTAAATTTTTAAAATATTTATGGGATTGATTTGAATCTCTGAAAAATGGCAAATTATATTTACTTGTGTATGATAGTATAGAATGTTACGGTTTAGTGGTCTGGCTCAGGAGCTAGCCTTTTGTGGTTCATCTCCTGGCTCTGCCACTTACTACCCATGTGCCCATAAGACATACCACTCTGTACCTCAGTTTCTTCTTTGAAATGGGGCTAATTATAGTATTAAAGGGTAGAGATGAGTTGAGACAATGTGTACGATGTGTTTAGCACACTGCTTAGTGCTGGTATGTAGCATATAGTGATACTACTACATTGCTGTCGTTGGTATGTATGGTTCTTCCTTATTTATGTATATTTGCCCATCAGTTTCCCTTAAATCTCCTTTGTTTTAGTTTATACCTTTAGCTGCTGGTCTTCGTAAGCTTTTATGCTAGTTACTTTTTGGAGATACTCAAATTAGTACATAGTTGTCGTTTCTAACGGCCGTCAACTCTGCATATGAGTGAGATGTGTAGTGCAGGGCCCCACCCCAGCCAAACAACCAAGAGGTAGATTGTGTAGCCTCGAATACTGTTGGTTATACAAAAGGTATTTTATTTGACATTGTATTGTTACTTGTATTGGAATACCTGGCAACTAGAATGATTGTGAGGTTGAATTTACACTTTCAGGTAAACCAGAATATTTCTCTTTTTCTTCTGAATATTTTCTTTACAGGGAACACTGAAAGGTTTTGACCAGACCATTAATTTGATTTTGGATGAAAGCCATGAGCGAGTATTCAGCTCTTCACAGGGGGTAGAGCAAGTGGTACTAGGATTATACATTGTAAGAGGTGACAATGTGTAAGTAAAATATATCTGTTAAAATTATAAATGATACTGCCTTACTTTATGGAGAAGAGGTTTTCCCCAAAATACCCTATTGTATTATCCATACATAATTAATAGAATCTTGCATTCATTTCTTTCGTAAATACAGCATTTCTTATATTTGCATAAAGTAAGGCATAGCTATACATTTTATGTCAACACTTTGTTTCAACCAAAGCTTTCTCTCTACAAATTAAACTTTTACCTGAGATTTGCCCATTTTTCTACTAGTTAAGTAGCCTGGGTAGAGTCCAGAAAGAGCCCTGCCTTATATTAAACACTTCATTAGAGAGGCTTCTTAAAATGTTCTTAGAAATACCCAGAATTTTAGAGGAACATATTTCTAGAGTACAAGGCCAAAGTTTGAAAAATGGTTTTGAAATCTCTCATTTGAGCAATACTAATTCATGCTCAATAACATAGATGTATTTGTAAATAATTACTTGTTATTCATTTTCTTTTAATTTTTTAGTATCATTGACACACTTAAGATGTCCCTGTGGCCTCAGTTTACTTGGGACAGACAGATATAAAAGTTTAAGAGAAATTGGCCAGGCGTGGTGTCTGTAATCTCAGCACTTTGGGAGTCTGAGGCAAGTGGATCAGGTCAGGAGTTCAAGACCAGCCTCGCCAACATGGCAAAACCCTGTCTCTACTAAAAATACAAAAATTAGCCAGGCTTGGTGGCGTGTGTCTGTAGTTCCAGCTTCTCGGGAGGCTGAGGTGGGAGAATCACTTGAACCCAGGAGGTGGAGGTTGCCGTGAGCCGAGATCATGCCACTGCACTCCAGCCTGGGTGACAGATTGAGATACCTTCTCAAAAAAAAAAAAAATGCCGGGCACAGTGTTTCACGCATGTAATCCCAGCACTTTGGGAGGCGGAGGTGGGTGGATCACTTGAGGTCAGGCATTCAAGACCAGCTTGGCCAACATGGTGAAACCACGTCTTTACTAAAAATGTAAAAATTAGCCAGGCATGGTGGCGCAAGCCTGTAATCCCAGCTACTCGGGAGGCTGAGTCAAGGGAATTTGCCCGGGAGGTGGAGGTTGCAGTGAGCCAAGATCGCAGCCCTGCACTCCAGCCTGGGCAGCAAGAGCAAAACGCCGTCTCAAAAAAAAAAAAAAAAAAAAAAAAGAAAAGTGGCTGATGTGTTTCCAGTGCCATGGCTCACGCCTATAATCCCAGCACTTTGAGAGGCCAAGGTGGGTGGATCACCTGAGCCCAGGAGTTCAAGACCAGCCTAGCCAGCATAGTGAAACCCCATGTCTCCTAAAAATACAAAAATTAGCCTGATGTGATGGATGCCTGTAATCCCAGCTACTTGGGAGGCTGAGGCAGGATAATTTCTTGAACCTGGTAGATGGATGTTGGAGTGAGCCGAGGTTGCGCCTTTGCACTCCAGCCTGGGCAAAAAGAGTGAAACTCCATCTTGAAAAAAAAAAGTGGCTCATGTGACAGAGGAACTGAATTTTAAATTTTATTTAATTGTAATTAATTTTAATAGTTACATGTGGCCAGTGTTAGAATAGTTATAGAGGCTAGAAGAATGCCAAATGAATTTTCTAGTGAGTACTACACTGAATCAAAATATAGTTGGAAAGAAGCAAAAGATGCATTAGCAATTTTAAGCTAAGATACATTAAGCTAGATACATTAACACATTCTAGGGGACTAACTGTCCCCTGGAATAACTTAAAATAAAAAGTGCAGGAATAATTTACTCATTTAAGTTAGCATCACCTTTAGATGAATAAATAATTTGATCTGTAATCAAAAATCAAGAGTTTATAAAATATTTTATAGAGATGACTTTTAGATGCACTTACAAGGTGAGCTATAAGTAATGAGAGAGAGGCAGAGCAGATAGGGCTTAGGTCTCTGGATCAGAACAACACTATATAGCTGTGCATAATAATTGATTTTAAGGTTTCTCCTACTTAAAACAATTTTTTTTCTTGAACTTCAGTGAAAAAAATGGTGCGCCAGAGCCAGCTTGTACTGGCTCATGAAAGCAGATTGTTATATTTTAAGGAATTTTACAAGGTAGTTAATTGATGTCTTGTTAGTAGCTTGAAATTGGCCGTGGTAGGAGTGTTTGCATAAGGGATATTAGTAAATGCTGCAAATCAGGCTACCGCTTTTTTTCCAGAGAGCTATTTTTTAAACATTTATCAGCATTTCACTGCTTACCATAGGGATTTTAAATGATACTAAATATTTAAGAGTGGAATTGGGGCCTTTAGTTTATTTTGAGAAAACTTAATTTATTCTACCAGAGTTTGATGTTTTTCATTTATTAGAGGACTTAAGACTTTATATACTTTAAAGCAAAATTGGGCAAATCCCTTATTATTAGTATTCGTCTTGAGAATTTGGCCGGGCACAGTGGCTCCCACCTGTAGTCTCAGCACTTTGGGAGGCTGAGGCTGGCGAATTACTGGAGGTCAGGAGTTGGAGACCTGCCTAGCCAACATGGTGAAACCCTGTCTCTACTAAAAACACAAAAATTAGCTGGGTGTGGTGGCGGGTGCCTGTAATCCCAGCTGCTCGGGAGACTGAAGCATGAGAATCCCTTGAACGTGGAAAGCGGAGGTTTTGGAGTGAGTCAAGATCATGCCACTGCACTCCAGCCTGTGCGGCCAGCAAAACTCTATCTCAAAAAAAGAAAAAAAATAAATAAAATTTACTCGCAATAAAACCAAACAAATGTAAACCCAACAAATACTTTTTAAAAATAATATTTCATAGTCATCTTGTGGTCTGAGTGATAACATTGAATATTTCCTGTTAGAGGGCTATGGGTTGGTTATCTAGCATGGTATTAATGAATTTAAAGTTATAGATATTATGTTAGTGTTGAACAAGAAAAAATTTTCTAGCTTTAACCTGAGCCAATCACATCAAAAATGATTTGTTAGATACCAAAGTACTTGGTCCTACTATTATTTTTGTATATGAAGAACTGGCTTTGGATTTAACTGAAAACTTAGGAAAACAGTCTAATAACTATTATCTATATCATTGATTTAATTCATCAAAGTTACTCAAATAATTGATACTTTTACTTGCTAATTATTTTAGGAGTGATTTTGTGAAATTTATTATTAATACAGTCCTAGAATTGAATTGAAATAATACGATTTGCAAGTTTGAGAGTTTTTTACCGTATCTGTCCCTGTGTGTCTGTTTCCTTTAAAGATTCATGATACAATCACTATGTACAATGTGTCCTTTAATATTGGTTCCTGTAATGTGCCTTCAAATTATTTCTTGAGTTTTGTGATTTAAATATGCAGTTCACTGACTCATGCCAATGTTGTTTGCTTTTTACCTCAATTAGTTCTTTTTACTATGCTTTCTCAGTTTTATGTTTTGGAATAATGGTACTCAGTGCTTTGATTTGATTAAAAGATTTTTGAAACACATGTAAATTTATTTCAGAAATGTGATTGTTTTAACTCTGACTTTTTTAGTGCAGTCATTGGAGAAATTGATGAAGAAACAGATTCTGCGCTTGATTTGGGGAATATTCGTGCAGAGCCTTTAAATTCTGTAGCACACTGAGGAAAAACTACATATTTGGACATCTGTAAATCTTTGTACAGAAACTGATTATTCTGAGGATGATATATGGAATTTTTATGAATGTGTAACTGGATTTTGACTCCTTGTTGATTCATTGTAATATGTAAATTAAAATATTTCTACATTTTATTGAAAAAAAACTTTTTTTTTTTTTTTTTTTACCTAAATGTAAGTTTGGTAGCTCGGTTTGTTTTTTTTAATTAAATAGTGTGAAAATATAATGGTCATTTTGAAAACTTTTAGCAAAAAGTAGTATTTATGGAAACTAGTGGAAAAGAGAAATTAGTGTGCTATATAAATCAGGCATTCAAATAACAGTAGTAGTACAGGATATGTGTGTTTTCTTTCCCTGATATTTAGGAAAATCATAGGAGGGTAAATCTTTCCTGGAGTTACCTGAATCATCGGCATTTATCTAATTCCACTGGTGGTGTTTTGCTAGTGCTTCTAAAAGTTGCTCCCTAGCACTTTGAGGTGTGGGTAGGTAAAAATGTGTTTGCTTGTGAAAAGCAAAAATACTGACAAGGTTTTAATAGATTGGCCCAAAATTCCAACTTGAATATTAAGAATGACTGGCAATGGTAGAATTGACAAAGATGATTGGTAAAGTCTCTTGATGCCCAATTGATTAGGTATGAAAGTAATATGAACACATTAATGTTGAATTTCACAGACAGTATATTATCTGAAAAAAATTGATTCCGTGTAGTCTTCAATTTTTAATTTTTAAGAATTGGAGAATTTCTAATATTAATGTTTTTATAAATGTGAGTAAATAAACTCTAAGTTTGTGTTGAAGTAGTGCTAGCTGCTGTTGTCAGCAATTTTACATGATTCATTACCATAAACCTGATTTCAGAAGACGTCAACTTAGTTTTTTAAATAATTGATAGAAACAATGCTGTAAGTAGTGTTTAGATATCCAGGCTAGTCCACAAAATTTCTGATCAACTCATGTATAGGCCAAAGTGTGTATCTTTGTGATGAGAAGAAAATAGAAAAATATTTACATCCTTGTACTTGAAACAAATGTAGTTTCTTTGTTTTGTTTTTATGAAAGTGCTTAAAAATAGTGGTTGGCAAACTTTTTCTATGAAGATCCAGATGGTAAGTCTTCTAGGCTTTGAAGGCCATATGGTCTCTGTTACAGCTACTCACCTCGGTTATTGTGGCATACAAATGACGATAGATAATACATAAGTGAATAGTGGCTGTCTTCCAGTAAAACTTCATTTATAAAAATGGAGGTGGGGGCTGGATTGAGCTTGAAGGCATAGTTGCTGACCCTTGGTTTAAACAATACAAGTTCAATAAAAAATGAACAATTTGTATAAATTCTGGAACAGATCCTTATAGAGAGTTTAGAGGTAGGTTTCATTCATATTTTAAAACAGTTTAAACTCCATACTTATTAAACATAATAGCTTTTTGGGGGAGGAAAATATCTTCACTCAAATCAGCCTTGTAAGGGGAGAAGCACTATTCCCTAGAATTATTTGGTTGATGTTAAGGGCTGTCTCTGGGAGGATTAGAGAAGTTAGCTAGTATTGGCTATTCATAAATGTTTGGCTTTTATAGTATAATGTTTTATAATCAATTTATTAATAAAATAAGATGGAAAGTGGGTAAGGCAAACCGGCAAATTTAGGGACTGAATGAAATAGTATATGGCATTTTTAATTGGTAAAGTAATTCCAAAAATTAAATAAGAATACACATCATTCAATTGCTAAGAAAAATGCATTCTAACGGTACAAATGAAGTCCAGAGTCAGATCTTTTCTCAAAATACTTGGCATAGCAACACAAATTACACATAAACAAGTAAATAAAAACCAGTCCTGTCCCTCATGATAATGAGTTTCTAATGTGATGTACTCTTGGCTATCTGAAACACCTTATAAAGCTGTATTTTCCTGATCTTGGAAAAAGCATTCCCAAAATGTGAATTATTGTTTTTATGAATAGTTACGGAGTTTGTGAATGATAATATGCCAGATGATCTATGTAATTCTTTATTTCTGGATACAAGCACATGGTCAACTTTTTATGCTCATGACTGATTAAAATTGGATTTATTTTTGCATGAGAATTGTAAGGGAGCCACAACCATGAGTAGTAACATAATTAATATACAGTGTCAAGATATATTTAATGAGACATTTATTCTATAACCAGTTTTTATTTATAAAGAGGCTCAAATCAATTTCAACCTGTAATTACCTTTGTGCTTTGTGACTGGGGCACAATCTGAACCCAGCTTGATGAATCAAAGAGATGTTTCTTGACAAGATATTTTCATTAAAGTTATTTGGAAAGGGCAATTAACTGCAAAAAGGACTTTTTTTTTGACTGACAAGATACTATCTAAAATAATATTTTAAAATAACATTGCTTTTAGGTCAAAGCACTTTGGTAACTTGGCCTCACATGCTGACAGTTTTGGCTTAAATATTACAAATCTTGATCCCAGAAGAACAAGAGAGAAAGTTTTACTAATATTTGCTTAAACATCCTGTTTAACATCCTTCCTAATTTTTAAGCTAATAATGTGAGATATAAGTATGATAAAAACAACTTTTGAACGTTATTTAATGCAAATACAGAATAACGATGTCAACATTTTCCTCAGCCGTGTAACCTAAGATTCATCATGTGAATGAGAAAGTAAAGTCCCTTTATAATGGCATGTGAACCAGACAGTTTAGTAGCCAGGGTTGTAAAGCAACTCTTAACTGACAATATAGTATATTCTGGGCCTTCATCTTCAAAATTAGTAGGTAGCATTTATTGAGTGCATATCATGTGCCAAGCCTGATGCTGAGTGCTTACAATGACCATTTTATATATGGAAAATTGAAGCTCAGCAGGGTCAAGTGCCTTATAAGAGGTAGCACTAGTAAGTAACAGTGCTCAAATTCAACTAGGTCTTTCAGCTCTTTATACAATACTGCCTGTTACCAGAAAGTATAGTCTCAAAATCTGCTATCAAGCATCTATCAGAAGCCTGATGAGAAATATTCAGATGATCTAACGCAGTTCCCAAACCTGCATTGTGGGTCATTTTCATACCTAAGGTGCTTTAAAAATGTTCTTGGGCCCTACTCGTTGTGGTTCAGCAGCTGTGTAATGGAGGAAAAGGGAATAGTCGCTAAACAGCGAAGGAAAGTGTGGTGGAATTATTAAAAGACCTAGCGCTTACATGCTAGGATGAGTCTCTAACCCCACAGAATTGAATTCAAACACAGGATCTTATTCAAGATAAGGATAATGACATCTATCTTCTTGGGTTGTAAAAAGTAACATTAGGCTGTATTTTAAACATTTGGTATGATTTTGAGGACCTAACAGTAAACAGCTATTTAATACTATTCCAGGTAGTCAAAGGCCCAATGTATAAAAGTTACAAATACAGGTCTTGTCAGCTTAGCTTTTTAAGTGTCTGTCCCACTGACTACCATATCTCTACAAGAGAACAGATGAAGAATTCAGGTTGTGTGGGAAGTATGTATACGTTTACACTATTTTAACAAATGTACAATAAAATTTGTTTCTACGTCAGCATATACTCTTGACTCAAGGAGTTTGAAAGTGTAAACTCAAAGGTCTTTCACACGTAAAGAGGAACCTCTCCATTCTGTACTTGTATAGTCATTAACTCATATAGATTTAATTTTATTAAATTAAATTTTACTTATTTTGGGTTAAAAAAACTTGGGCTGTGAATCTCAGTTTTAAGTCATGGGCAAATTTGATAAAAATTGTTTTCTGTCTACATGTAATACTGAAAAAAATGACAAGGTAAAGCTATCTCCATTTAGATTGATACCCATTAAATAGCATAGTGCTCCCATTAAACTAGCGACAAATTCATTTAATTGTGAGATATCTAGTACTTATGCTTCATCCTGATTATAGGGATTATTGATGTGAGATTTGGTCAGATGCTTTGATGTGATCTTCATTCCTCTGTATAGTGGGAAACTATGAGACGTGCTTAGTCTTCGTAAATCGATGCTGCCTCCTAGTGGCCATTGCTTTCTTTTCTACCTGTCCACAAGCTTCAAAAAAATAGATTTTGGAATTTTGTCAGGGACATTTATTAAGCCGTTAATACATGCCAGGCAGTGCGCTCAAAGCTGTGGATAAGCCAGGGAGTAGTATTCTTCACCTTGTGAAGCTTCTACCTATCTATATCTATCTCAACCAAATCATCTTGACTCAGATTTACTGTCCAAGGTCATGTGTTACTTCATCAGATTCTTTCAGTGTTCTGGGATATAATTTATGGGTTCTGGATTTATTCAAAACAACTAGAAATAGTCTTGTTTAAATGAATATAATTCAAATCAATTATTTTCCACATCTATTTTTTTTTTCTTTTAAGATTGCTGAGTCTGTAGGTTGCATATTTCTAAGGATAAAGGTGAAATAGGACTTCACCAGGAGAATTTCTTTCATTAGTTAGCAGTATCTATCTGCTGCCTACTGGCATCATTTGTGGAATGAAGGAGCTGAGAATTGTTCTGCCAGATATTTTTCAGACCTCTTCTTGGTTTTGGCATTAAGTTTTTTTTTAAACTCAATTTTTGTATTAGTTTTTTGTTATGCCTTTTTATTTCCTTCTTTTTTTTAGTGTTTCTTTTTTTAAAGTCCTTTAATTTTTATTTATTTATTCATTTTTGAGACAAATCTTGCTCTGTTGCCAGGCTGGAGTGCAGTGGCGCGATCTTGGCTCACTGCAACCTCTGTCTCCTGGGTTCAAGCAATTCCCCTGCCTTAGCCTCCCAAGTAGCTGGGACTACAGGCGCGCACCACTACACCCGGCTAATTTTTTTGTATTTTAATAGAGACGGGGTTTCACCATGTTGGCCAGGATGGTCTCGATCTAACCTCATGATCTGTCTGCCTTGGCCTCCCAAAGTGCTGGAATTACAGACATGAGCCACTGTGCCCAGCCAAAGTCCTTTTATTTTGCAGAGTATTACTTGTTGGAAGTGGCACAGATCAAGCATTGCTACAACTAGTATCAAATTCCCATCAATGTCCTTTCAACCATATGATGTGCTTTCTTCTCTTTAGGATAATGTTCAATTATACTGTAAATATTTTGCTTTTACATAGTTGTTTTTTTTTTTTTTTTTTTTTACCCCACATATACTGGCTTTACAAATGCCGTATAATTACTATGGTACCAAATTGTTATTACATTTGAAATATGCTAAAAAGAATCCAGGAGTCAGGGTGGGTGGGAGACATCTCCAGGGGGACACAATACATTGTGTCTTGTATTAAAAATTAGTGTGTGTTGGGGTGGGGAACAGGCAGGAAACTAATGTGTTTCTGTTTGATATATGAAAATATGCACAAGCTATGTTTCATCTCATATAAAGATGGTTATAATAAATCATACTCTAGAAAACTCATAAACTGATACAAGTTGCCAGAAAATGCTGCACTATGGCTTATTTAACATTTTAAAACAAATGCCCTGAAAGTGATCACAATGATAGTTAAAAGTTAAATTTTTTTATTTTAAAATTTAAAATTTTATTTTAAAAAGTAGCTATCTCAATCTGACTTGAATAAGCTTTACTGTAATTGTGCTTCTGCCAATTACAGAGACACTTCAATTCACACTAATAGGAGGTATGGTTTTTAAAAGGAAATTGTTAATTAGGGTCTTGGGCTAGTCCAGTGTAGCATGGCAGTGAAAGGCACACACTCTGGAGTCAGATTTAGTTTGTAGAGTTTAGCATATTAATCTTCCCGTGTCTTAGCTGCTATGAAAATGAGTACCTGCCTCCTTGTACTGTCAAGATTAAGATAAGCATTAGCACTCCCTAGAACATACTAATTTGTCAATATTAATGATAGCTAACAATTATCCTGATATTGAATGAGGGACTCTAAATTATTTATTGTGGCCTAGGAAAAGAACTAAGAAGTAATTGATAGCATTCCCTGATAATTTTGATGAAAAAAAAAACTGAAAATTCTGGACAGACTTAGAAATGTATTGGAAATGAAAGTATGTTTCCCTTGTGCAAAGATAATGTGATGTTTTATCACATTTTTTAAAATTAAAAATTTGATCAAATTTTTAAAAGTAACACGAGGCAGAGAAAGTACAGAAAGGAGCAACCAAAGTCAAAGTGATTAAATTATAAAAAGGTTAAGATTTCTTTGGTGTGAAAAGATAAATGAGAAATAAGAATATGCCAGAGATCTGAAATGAATGGATAAGAAGCTTGCATATCTAATTTTGTATGTTAAAACCAAATACTCTATGAAGACAGGAAGGATAATTTTAGGTCAAAATGAAATTCTACATTAAAGAAAGAAGAATAAACCTTAACTCATTAGTAATCCTTCATTTCCTGAGTATTTACTGCAATGACAACAATAACAGAGATGACATGCCCGGTAAAGTGGTGTTTGAAGGCAATATATAAAAGTTTCCCATGCATGGCAAAGGTGCATTTGCCTCTATGCATAGCAATATGGGAGAGGTTGGAGGAGAATCTTCATGGAAATGGATGACTTGTGCTGGAGTCTAAGGATAGTAAGGATTTCCATAGATGGTTAGGAAAACTTCAAATTGGCAGACAGGAAGGCAGGAAGGAGTAAGATGTGGTTGACTAATAAGGAGTAGACTGACCTCTCTGTACAGTAAAGGCTCAAATCCTTTATATTGCAAAGAAAGGACCTGTGTTTCACCAGTTCCTGGAAGAAAACCTCTTGAGTCCTTGGGATATCTTACCTGTTACAAGTGCTTTTGTACGCCTGAGACCATGGGCCTTGCTGTTACAGTTTAAGCTCTGGGAAACTGGAGATTCAGTAGCTAAGGTCAGTTATGAGGGAGCTGAATATTTATGTGACTGAACCCCGATAAAAACCCTGAACACCAAGGCTCAAGAGAGCTCATTAGCAATACTTTGCATGTGTTGGTAAACACCGTTGCTGAATTAGGTGCTGTCTGTGCAGCTCCACTGGGAGAGGACATCTTAAAGTTTGTGCCTGGTTTCTCCTGATTTTCACCCTGCACACCTTTTCCATTTACTGATTTTAATCTATATCCTTTCACTGTAATAAACTGTAACTGGGAGCATAGCAGCTTTTCTGAGTCCTATGATTCCAAGTGTATCATTGAACCTCAGTATGATCTTGGGGACCCCCAACTCACTATCTAAATAAATTTTTCATTGAAAATTAGTGAGAAGGAAAAAGATGGCCTTCAATACTAGTGCAAAGTTAATACTTTATTCTTAGAGCAGCAAGTTGCTTTTAGGGGATTAAAAATGTAAGGTGTGTTAAAGGAACATGAATTTGGATGCATTGAACAGTATTGGTAACCTGAAAGAGAAACTGGAGGCAAATTGTTAGGAGGCGATTGCAGTAATCAAACTGAGCTGACACATTTTCAGGTCAGATTTTCAGGTATGATAAAGGCTGGCAGTACAGAGTTTCAAAAGACGTATATAAATTTATGGAAGGGAAATTTTGGAATGGTGATTCTAACCTTTAAGGTTGGTGCCAAGGAAGAAAAACAACTAACTTTGCAACAATCTGTTCAAAAAACAATGAGAGTTACCAAATGCCAGACACTGCTAAGTGCTGGGAACTTAGATGTAACCAAAGACTTACAAGATACTAGTCTTTAAGACAGGCTTTAAGAAATTTTCAAGTGTAGGGTAAGGCCACCTCCCTAGCAGGTAAATACTGACATGGTGAAGATATGTATTGGGTGATATGAGAGCCCATAGGATAGACATCTAGAGAAAGTTTAATAGCAACACTAGGCTGGACTGAGTGGTGAATGGGTTGATATAGCAATTTAATAAACGTGTTATTGTCACTGTAGGCATTTTGCTCATAGCTTAGGGCAAGTGATAAAAAATAGAGCTTAACAAAGGACTGGATATTTTAGTTTGACAGCAGTGTCTAAATTACAGATTAGAGAACTAATGACCAGCCATACTGAAGACAATTATCTGGAAATGCCTTCCCTAAGTGCCAACAGATAATGAAAATACAATCAATAGCTTTAAGTGACCTCATGCATCTTAATGCCTTGCAAGCAACATGTTTTTCTGACTTCTAAATATAAACAACCTAAGCATTGTGCAGTAGCCATGAGGAATTAGGTATCCAAGTGCACATTATATTGGCTTTGTACAGCCATTGGAGGGAGTAATAGTTTCAGAGTCATGAAATAAATCATAAGTAGCTGTTCTTGTGCTCTCTAGAGGCAGAACTTGCTGAACTTGAAGACTATTAATGGTGCAACTCTCACTGGTACAAGTGAAAAACCTCTCAGCCCTACATAGCATCTTTAAGAAAGCTTTAATTTTGGTTTTTCAGAGCAATATTCACATGACATCTTTAGGATCTGAAATCTTATTACCATTAGGTTGGAACTCTACCTAAACTAAAAATAAGTGGTCTCTATCAAGTTGAAATTACTTGAATATTTTCATACTATTTATTTAAATGTGGAGAACATGTCTAACCATTCAGGGCCATTTAATTTTCAAATTATTAATGATTCTTCCA